GGTTGTTGTGAGAATTCAGTAAGGTAATATTTATAAACCACCTGGAATGGAGCAGGTGTTCAGAACAGGGAGGCAATCATCCTGATTAACCAACCTTTCGTCTTTTCCTGGTGGCGGGGAGCTTAGGAAGAGGCAGAGAAACCTGTAACTTCTGAAGCCAGCCCCAACTCCATCTGCATGAACACGAAAGAAGTTGAGAGAATGCATGCCTGCTTTGCCCTCCAGGATAAGCTCCTTGAGCGGCTTATGTTCAGTGAAATGAAGCTGAAGGTCTTAGAAAACCAGATGTTCATCGTATGGAATAAAATGAATCACAACAGGAGATCATGCAGGCGACGGACTTTTTCCACGAGGAAGCACAGGGTGAAGAGGCATGAGTCGATTTTCTCCACTATCTCTGATTACAGCACCAACTACCCCTCCTAACCAGGTCCGAGAGATGGCGGTGGACTGGCTCTTCTGATGTTACCTTTACTCAGTAAAATCTAGTCAGAGACTGTAGAATTTTCTTCGTAAGTGAGACGGGAGAGGTGCCGAGGGGCCAGGAGGAGGATCAGAGGCTGGAAGGCCACCTCTGGAAAAGAAATCTGTACACACAGTTAGTTGGCCTCTCACAACATGACACAACCTGACAGGGGCTAGACACTTGCTCTCCCCTCTCATTATGTGATGACTTAACCTATTTCCTATTTTTGTTAAGAGCAGGGTATCTGGAGCTAAAGTGCCTGGGTTCAAATCCCAACTCTCAGCTGTGCGATCTTGGACAACTTTAAGTTGCTCGGTCTTGCTGTACTTCAGTTTCTTCAACTGTAAAATGGGGAGAATAACACTACCGACCTCATAGAGTTGATGTGAGGATTAGATGAATGAACGAAACATTTTTAGATCTTTGCTCAAATGACACCACTTAGTGAGAACTCCCTTAACTCACCTGCTTACAATCACAGCCCTGCCTTGGGTGTCAGACATCTTCCACTTGCCCCTCCAGATCCGCTCTCCACCTTCCCCTGCTTGGACTATATCCTCAGACTCTCTTGCCCTGTGACTTTCAGTTGGGTTTGGCCAATGGAGATCCCTGGCAGAAGGTTGGAGGAAAGGGGGAGTTTGAGTACTTATTCCCCCCAGCTCCCTCCTATGGGGTCGCCTCAGACTAGTTTGGGCTGACTGGGTCCCTTCACCGAGGGTCACTCCTTCTCTCAGGGAGACACTCTCTACATCACT